CTCAGTCCTTATCCCACCCTTCTAGCTCTTCCCTTTCAAATTCTACAAACACGTACTACAATCTACATCACTAAATCAACGAAAGTATAAACTATCCTTCATTGGAATATTCGCGGTTTCCGCTACCACAGACCTGACCATCATATCCTTTCCTCTTATAACCCATCTATTGTATGCCTTCAAGAAACCTTTCTTATGCATACCCTTTATCTAATATAACACCTGACCTTAACCTTTCACTCACTAATCCTTTGGCCCCAGCTTAGACAAATAATCACGAACTCAACCACCCTTCATAACATTAACTATAGTGCTACATGACTTAGATGTCAGAACATTTATCTTGCTTTAACCATTAACCATTGAGCATTTTGCAATACCATCATGAGTTGGTTGGTGCTGCTTGGAGCCTATGTTGACCTCAAGAAGGTATTGACTTATTGCATTGCTAGATGCTATGGGATATTCTGAGGATGGGGATATGAAAGGATGTTAAATTAATAGTGGCTTAGGCAGATTGACCAGATCATTCATAAGGAGTTAGAGATGGCCAAGGCCTTGCCTGGCAGCTTGCAGAGTGGAATGAAGGGTGGCTAGTGCCCATATCAGGAATAACCCCAGGATGATTTATAATTGAGATTAGAATTATGAAAAATGTATCTGAAAAATAAACTATCTGGAACAGAGCATTGACAAAGGAAGAGGATAAGTCCGAATGTGAAGCTGAGCCTCGCCGGGCTATGGGGGAGCCGGCCTGTGCCGACTAAGTCGAATCGTAACAGTGTTTCAGCTGGTGCTGACTCGGATGAGCTTGTCCTTACCCACCGTGGTGGCCCAGCCACAGAAGAACCTCCAGCGACAATTGCAAACTTCTCGCTCCACGCGGCACGTGGGGCGCGTAAGTCAGAGCCTGACCCCGCGTGGCACTGACCCCGAGGCTGACACGTTACCACTGTACTAGCCCGGAGGCGCATTGACAAGAGGATATAACTTGATATTAGGATTGGATAGATAACAGACTGTAAAAATAGTAAAGACCTTTCTATTCAGCAGCCAAATATACCTCCATTATGGAGACTGGAAAGTCATTTAATTTATTATTTTATATACATCCGATGAGAAACTATATCATTATATATATAAAACACAGACAACACAAAAAATATGTTTAAAAATGATAATAAAAAATACAGAGCCCGAGGTTTAATTTATTTTTATGAGATTCAAACTGCCAGCCAATAATTCCCGTGAAAAAAACTGGAGCTGGCCTTTTGTGAACATCTTAATTTTAAAGTAATAGAGAGGTAATAAGAAACAACCTAACCACACATAAATTATACACACATATGGGAATTCTCATTTAGCAAAGGATAAATGAAACACTATCAATAATCACAAAATTAAATATCTATCGATCAGAAGATATGTCTTATTTTCTAATACATATACACGTACGTGGGTGTGTGTGTGTGTGTGTGTGTGTGTGTGTGGTTGTGTGTGTGTGTGTGGTGTGTGTGTGTGTGTTGTGTGTGTGTGTGTGTGTGTGTGTTGTGTGTGTGTGTGTGTGTGGGTGTGTTACGTGTGTGTGTGTGTAGATTAATATATATATAATGTATTACATATAATGTATACATATATATGTATATATATGTATATGTATTTAGTTATTATATATATAATATATATATATATATATATATATATATTATAGATAGATAGATAGATAGATAGATAGATAGATAGATAGATAGATTAGATAGACAGATAGATATAATAAAAAAAATAATAATAATAACAATAATGATATACAGAGAGGAAGTTCCAATATATCCAAATTACGGATTGCTATGAAGAGGATTCACAGAGGTAATGTACAGGAATAACCTTTTCATTAATGCTGAGCTTTGTTTACGCAGGTATATAGTCTAAATCATTACCACTTGCTTATGTAAGTCTGAGTCATTATACATTATATCTGGCAGGACAACATACGATGTCTTGATTATATGGGTTCAAAGTGATAATCTATTCCAATGCAGATTTAAAAAAGCAGGATACTGCCTGTACAAGAAAATTATTGATAAGGTCAATTTTCACTAATAACTTCTATGTCTCTCTAAAGCATACAGGTAAATATATTAACCATATATGTATGTATGTATGTATGTATTATATGTTATATATGTTATATGAGTATAATATGTACAATTAATATATATATATGTATATATATAGTACATTATAATATATATGTATATATATATGTACATATATATATATATATATGTATATCTATATGTATTATATATATGTATATATATATATGTATATATATATGTACATATATGTAATATATGTACATATAGGGTACATATACATATAACATATACACATGTAGATATGTATATGTATATGTATGTGGTGTTTTCTGATGTGTGTGTGTGTGTGTTGTGTGTGTGTGAGTGTGTGTGTTGTGGTGTGTGTGTGGTGTGTGTGTGTGTGGGTGTGTGTGTGTGTGTGTGGGTGTGTGTGTGTATCAATCTATCTATATATATTTATGTACATGTATAGTAAATATATTCACCACACACACAACACACCACACACACACACAACACACACACACACACACACACACACACCACACACACACACCACACACACACACACACACGTAGATATAGATAGATTGATAGATAAAAGATAGATACGTAAATCTTAAAGCAAAAATGGAAACATAACCATGCTAAGCCAACCAAAAAGAAAGAAAGAAGAAAGAAAAAAAAAAAAAAAAAAAAGGCTTATTTTCCAGCTCAATGTCCCTTTGACTTTAAGGCTAACAATAATAAAAACCAAGAACAGGACGAGAAACATATACTTGATTAATATGTTAAAATATGTCTATTAAATATGAGATTTACAGCATAGTTTTCATTCTAGAAACAGATATTTGTTGACTACAGCATAGAGCAGATTCCTGAAAGCTAAATGTCCATTAAACATTCTGAGAATTGTGACTTATAAATGGAATGTGTAGGATTTCTTTTTTATATATTTATATCTTATATTCAAATAAGGGTCTATCCTACTAAAGAATTAACACTGGCAGAGTGTGCAGTTCACAAACTATTTATAGTGACCAAAGAATTTTTTTTTCCTGATTCTAATTCTATCATTTACCCTGATTTCTTCTCAAAATTGTTTCCTCAGCCAATAACAAAATAAAAGAAAATCTGATTTTCAAAATTTCGATCAAATTTACCACGACATTTATTCTGGAAGCTGTTTGGATATGTTAAATTTGTAATCAATAAAGCTTTTCATATTGTGCCTTGGAAAAAAGTAAAAATGAGAATAACTATCTTCACAGTGCAAGAAATATATGTTGCATTTCACCTAGATCTTCATTAAAAATACTTCATGTCTTTTAATGAAGTTGTTGAGATGTATCAAATATATCTTTTGTGCTATAAATGTATTCATTCACATTCAACCCTTTCTCTACATCTGTCAAACAACCTTTGTTCATTGTTCCATGGAGTTGAATATTTCCCTTTCAAGAGATACAACACTATTCAAATTCACATTGAGACAGTCAAAAGAAAATATAATATAATATAATCATAACAAAGAATCCAAACATATATCCATGTAAAGAGTACATCAGAACACACACAAACATCCCTCTTCTTTACATAGCTACCATCTTTCCATTTGTAGATTCCACAGTTTTGTTAATCTTACAATATCATTAAAATATCACAAGGAGATTCACTTGGAAGTCACACATAGTCAGTCTGTGAACCAAAAACAACCTATTATTCAACCCTTGGCTTGTTATTTTCTCCACAAACAAATTCATTTCTAACTCTAATTAATATTTTTTAAAACAGGAAAAAATTCCCCCTCTGCTGACTACGACTCCCAGTAAAAAGCGGTCATCAAGATTCACACTAATGAACTTTTATATTCAATTCATGTCTAAATTTGTGACTAGACCAGAGTATCACTGTACTGAAAGTCAACATGCAACCTTGAAATCTGGAACAGATTCTCATGATTGTGACACCATGAAGTACATCCCACTGACTGATTTTGCAAACAATAAAAATGAAGGAAAAGGTGTATATATAGCCACAAATCACTTAAGAGATTACGACTGGTCATAGTTTTCATTCTAATACATGTGAACTTTATTCATCACAATCTAAGCCTTATCAACTTGAGATCCATGTTCTAAACTTAATTACCATATCTTTGTCAATATCTATTCACACCATTATTATTGCTGTACAAAAGGAGCATCTTTGTTATTGTACTATAATCTTCACTGGTAGTATCAATAATACCATTCATAATTAACTTTATATATATGATCTAAATGATGCAAATTGTTATATTGTCTCCTCATGCGTACAAACTAGAAAATTTTTATGGCCATGTCTGTTAATAGCACCACTAATTTGAGTTGGATCGCACAAATTCAAAATAAAACTAATCAATACTATATTAAATTGAACTTGTTTTTAAACAAATATACTCCTCAATAAAAATAAATAAGTAAATAAAATAAGTAAAAATATACAATGCAATATCAATGATAACCTTATTAAGAATAAATAATTTACCACACTATAACAATAAACATCTTTAGCCACTTAGTCTGTTTTTTACATCAAGTAGCAATGTAATATCTTAAAATTTCCTCTTAGAAGAGCAAAATTAATACCATTTCTTTTACAACCTGAACATCAAAAAGAAAAGAAAAATCAACCAATAATTGCCTTTTCTTAGATTTTCTGATCAGCAACCTTTAACTAACTTACAGGAGAATATGGTATACAACCATTTGTAACAATGAACAAACTTTTAAATTTCAGATTCAAATCATGCATCAACTATGTGTTATTTGACTCTGAGATCTTAATTTAAAACTATGTATTCTTTCCATACATGATTTTAATCAAACCGCATTGAACAGTGACAGCACCCTACTGTCTTCAACCTTCATTAACCACAATAACCTCTGACCACATGGATTCGGGCCACATCCCGTTTTCTCTGACATTGGGCGGACTGCTCTTCCAGTCCCAATGCTTGATGGGAGTAAACCAAGATGGCCCATAATTTGCTCGTATGTATTCTTCCGTCTGGCATGGAATGCGCACTTTTAGATCTAAGAATTCTGTCCAGCATAAAGTAAAAGCTGGGAAGACATATCTGGAAAGGAGACATTTTTGTTGTTATTTTGGTCATAATCATTGAGACAATCTATTATATAAATCTAAAAAAAAGAGAGAAATGATAATTTATGACATTTATGTCAATGCCATGATTTATCTTATTATCTATAAATGTTAAAAACATCGGCAGAGTATATATCACACTACACAAAGCAGAAGAAAAGAAAAAAAGACCTTCCATAAATAGCCAAACATCTTTTCCATCCTCATATACAAACATTATCATTCTTCTATTTGATGAATTGACCAATTATATGCATAAATCTAACATACAATATGCCCTTCATATTATATAAACATTTATATGATTAAATAAATATAGCTTACTTGAATTTTCTTCCCTGTTTTGGCCTGTGTTCCTCCATTCCACATAGTGCTCCTTCAGTATAGAAGAAAAATATGTCCAACTTAATGTCTTCCTCTTTGAAAGAGAGTTCAAAGCTGTCAGACACTTTGCCAAACTTGTGTGTTAATCTCAATCCTCTCTTCTGAAATTCTTCAATGAGTCTTGGGTTATAGTCCTCGATGAACACACCAATGTCAACATCCATCGCCCAAGGTATGATGTCACACTGCCGATAAAATCCTGTTCAGGTACGAAGAGGTTTTAAAATGGTGCTAGTAAATGCTTGGCAATAACTTCTTAAAAGTACAAAAAAGTACAAAAGCAGCAAACCTTACTTATTATGTCCTTTCTGTCCAAAACAAAGAAAACAATATTATTATTTTTATTTTATTTTCTCTACAATTGTTAATTAGTGAAGTTAATGATAACTACTACAATGTCTATAATAAGAACTACAGCATTAATATTATCATTAATAATAAAAAATATTTTCCCAAAACCTTGCAGAAAGGTCACATGAAGTCACAAGGTTTAATAATTGATTCCATGGCAGCTGAGCACTTTTAGAGCCATCTGCGTGTAGAGACAAATCGCAAAAGAAAACTAAAGTGAACATTACATTTTTCCAGGACTGGGTTAATTTCCACATAAGCAAAATGTGATCTTGCTAACTTACCAAGGCAAGTGCCACTGCTGAGCCAAAAAGGAATTTTCAAGTGATCCATCAGTGTCTTAGCTTTGGCCAGCAATTTCCAAGCTTTATGCTTAAATCTGCAAAAAATTCTCATCTGAGACTTTTTAAAGTAATACCATATCTTACTGGTAAATATTTAACATTAACTATTGCACTGTTATGTGTGAATATAAATAAAGCTAAGCTATAAGTTTGCTGCAAAAGAATGACATGAAAGACTAATATCTTTTAGTAAAACCTTGTTTTGTAAAGAGAATGTCAAAATATGTAAAAAAAAAAAAAAAATTGCGCACATAAACATTACCTAACTTCAGTAGGATGTTTCTTCCTTCATAGCTTTAAGTTGTAGAATGTTGCTCTCGATTAATTACATGGATGAAATGTGAGGATTTGTGGCCGCTGACAAATGCTTCAATATCACTTGGAACTGTTAAGTCACTTCATCAATCTTGGCATCCTTTGTATAAGCTGTTTGAGAGAAATAGACTTATCATAGTGCAATCTCAAAGTTTCCCTACAGAAGGTTTATAGAATAATTTTCAGTTGTTATAAGCATGTGTGAGAGCAGACCAATGCCAAAATACTCTCACCGTTCATAAGCCCGATCAACCTTCATATTTTCCAAGTGTCTTTGGTTATGTACTGCTTTACTTGGGCCATGTTGTGAGGAGGTCCATTCAGGGCATACTGTCGCAGGTAACCTTCAGAGGTTGTTCACAGTTAGATCAGGACAGCAGGATGTGAATTTAAAATGAATCAAGAGGTAAACAAAATCTATATCAGTACAAGGTTTATGAAGAAAGAAAATAACTATTTTAAAATTTAAATTTGAATTCCCCCCCCCCCCTTTTATTGTTTTTTTTTTTTTTATTATTTCACATTTGGATCTTTAAGTGATAACGGAGTGACTTTCAAGCCATAAAGTCTCTTTATAATACTGTATTTTGCATAATTACTGCATAAAACTTAGAATTGTATTTTTCCCATTCCAACTAGACAAGAAGAAATCGCATCTCAATTAATATTGAAATAAACTTCAACTTCGCCCTCTCTTATATATATCTTACAGATGACTAGTGTGCAGGACGACAAGTGTAGAGGCGATCCCTTGCGCCCACAAAAAACTGTGCGAGTGCTCTCCTTCAGGGTTTTTCGAAGAGAGTGACTGTAAACCCCAGCTGGCCAACCTTGTAAGAAAGGCTGGCTGGAAATATATCATAAGATACAAAGATAAATGTTTGCAACAGTCCAAAAATTGTAAACATTTTTTGTTACAAACAATTTGTTTTTTGGTTTTTTTATCTGATACATATAAACAGAGAGAGAGAGAAGAGAGAGAGAGGATGAGAGGAGAGAGAGGAGAGGGAGAGAGAGAGAGAGAGAGAGATGAGGAGAGAGAGAGAGAGAGAGAGAGAGAAGAGCGAGAGAAAGAGAGAGACGAAAGAGAGAGAGAGGAGAGAGAGAAAGAGAAAGAGAGAGAGAGAGAGAGAGTGAAGAGAGAGAGAGAGAGAGAGAGAGAGAGAGACAGGAACTGAGAGAGTGAGAAGAGAGACGAAAGAGAGAGATAGAGAGAGAGAGAGAAGAGAGAAGAGAGAAGAGAGAAAGAGAAAGAGAAAGAGACAGAGAGAGAGAGAAGAGAGAGAGGAGAGAGAGAGAGAGAGAAAGAAGTAGAGAGAGAGAAGAGAGAGAGAGAGGGAAGAGAGATAGAGTAAAGAGAGAGTAGAGGAAAGAGAGAGGTAGATGGAAAGGAGAGAGACGAGATGGAAAGAGAGAGAGAGATGGAAAGAGAGAGAGAGAGATGGAAAGAGAGAGAGAGATGGAAAGAGAGAGAGAGATGGAAATGAGAGAGAGGATGGAAAGAGAGAGGTAGATGGAAAAGAGAGGGTAGATGAAAGAGAGAGAGAGATGAAAGAGAGAGAGATGATGGAAGAGAGAGAGAGGGAAAGAGCAGAGAGAGATGGAAAAGAGAGAGAGAGATGGAAAGAGAGAGAGAGAGGAAAGAGAGAGAGAGATGGACAAGAGAGAGAGAGATGGAAAGAGAGAGAAGAGAGGGAAAGAGAGAGAGATAGGAAAGAGAGAGAGAGATGCGTAAAAGAGAGAGAGAGATGGAAGAGAAGAGAGAGATGGAAGAGGAGAGAGAGATGGAAGAGGAGAGAGAGAAATGGAAGAGAAGAGAGAGAGGAAAGAGATGATGACTGACAACCAAACAGATTACAGAAAGATAAAAGAAAAAAAAACAGGACAGAGAAAGACTGAGACAAGAGAGACAGAAAGATTCAGTCAAATAAAATTCCCTCACCTTGTCCCTAAGCTGCCCATGTGTGACGGCAAAAGTCAAGGGCCCAATGACATGGCACAGGAAAATGCACACTCCTGTCGCAGAAACATGCTGGTTAGAGTTCCAAGCATGCAGAATGAACGGGTCAAACAAAATAGTCGTCAGTGAGGCGTCCTCGCCCGCGCGCAACAGCTGCCGCACATCATCCACGTGGAGAGACCCTCTGGAATTCAGTGTGGGGGGTTACAGCCAGACGTGAAGTAGAGCTGGTCGAGGAGAACCAAAACGACCAGGAGTCCCACGACCAAGAAGATGTTTTCTTATGGTGCCCATGCCCCTACATGCTCAGGGGACCTGCGAGGGGAGGCACGGTCAGTGGCGGCGTTTGAGAGTAAAAAGGAGTAACGGCGAATTAAAGCAAAAATATAAAGTTTTTTGTAAGTTTAAAAAATACTGATAATGTGAATTACTTGAATTGGGAGATAAGGATAACTGTTAAAATATCTGCACTTTATTACTGTATAAACATAACAAAAAACCAAAGTTTCTGAGATTATCACCCTAATGTATAAATTTCAAATACATGCATTTCCATAGAAAATGTTTGTTTTTACCTAATGGTAATATATTCCCTTGAAAACTGACTCACACAACTCAAGCTTTTTGCAAGAATTAAATAAAGATTACCTCCAATAATCACTAAAATGGTATTAAAGACACATTACCATAGACACCCTG